TGCGCATGGGCACCTCGTCGAGCGGGTCCCTTTCGCTCGGCTCGCCCAACACGTCGTCCGTCATGCTGCACCAGGTCGACCACCTCCACCTCCACCGCTCGCCGCCGCGCGGCAGCGCCGACTCGTGGGGCGACGAGGACGACGACGGCGCAGGGCAGCGCGAGCGCGAGCGCATGCTCGACCCGGCGGCGTCCTCGTATCCGCCCAAGCACGGCGCCGCAGCGCGCTCGCCGTCGTCGCACTTTGACGACCCGCACCGCACGCCGACGACGACGACGACGACGCGCGACTACGACCACGATGGCGCATTTTCGCTCGGCGACGACCTCGACCTCGACAGCGACGGCTCGCCGACGTTCAGCAGCGTCGCTGACCCGTCGTCGTCGGCGCCGCGCACGCCGACGACCGCCCGCTCGCTGTACTTTGACGCGGCGTCGTCGGCTGCGGGCTCGAGCACGGGCGGCGACGCGTCGGGCACCATGTCGCGCTCGACGTCGGCGCACTCGTTTGCGAGCGCATCGAGCGGCGGCGGGTCGGCGACGCCCACGCTCACGGCGTCGCCCGGCGGCGGCGGCGGTGGCGGTGGCGGGAACGAGTCGGGCGGCGCGAGGGCGAGGGGCGACTCGGACGCGAGCGACGAGGGCCAGATGCAGTTCCCGCCCAACCACGGCTCGGTCGGCGTTGACCTGTTTGCCGACCCGTACCCGCATTCGGTCCCGCCGCCGCCACCGTCGCACTCGACGACGACGACGACGACGACGACGACGACGACGACGTCGAGCACGGCGGCCCACGAGCACGCCTACGGCGCAGACCCGTACGCCTACCCGGCCGTCGTGCGCCACATCGACTTTGGCGCGCACGTCGGCGGCGGCGGCGACGGCGGCGGGGGAGCGGGCGCGAGCACGAGCACGATCCACCTCCCGCCGCCGCGAGGAGGCGTCGCTGCGTTCGGGCGCGTCGGTGCCAGCGGCGGCGGCGGCGGCGGTTCGAGCGCGGGCTCGGGCTCGCCTGCGCTTGGTGCGGGCGCCGGCGGCCTGTACGCGCTCGACGACGGCGAGAGCGACGATGGGCGCCGCGTCGGCGAGGCGCACGTGCTGCAGATCCGGCACTCGGACTCGTTCGAGCTCGACGAGCGCGAGCGGCTGCACCTCGGCGGCGGCAGCGGCGGCGGGACGGGCGACGAGAGGAGGAGAGGCGGCGGCTTGTGGGCGCAGGGGACGCCGAGGATCTTTGTGGGGGGCGCTGAGGGCGACGAGGAGAGCCCGGAGGAGTGGGGCGCGCAGGACGACGAGGAGGGCGGCGGGCAAGGGGGAGCTGGGCAGCAGCAAGTCGGCGGAGGGGACCAGACGGGCGTCATCCTCGGGTCCGTCCACGCTTTCCTCTCCTTTCCTCTTCCCTTTCCGTCGGGTTCGGTCGACTGACTGCGCGTGCCCTGGTCGACAGGTGTCACAACATCTATCTCGTCCTGCCCCAGTTCCTCGTCACGGCCATCTCGAGCATCATCTTTGCCCTCCTCGCGCCGCAACACAGCGTCCTCGGGCACCACACGCCCGCCCACCACTCGGCGTCGTCCGACACTGGGCTCGTCGGCGGCGGGACCGACGCACAGGACGGGTTCGGCGACCTCGCCGAGGAGGACGCTCAGCGGCGCGGGCTCGTCGTGCGCGCGGTGCGGGTCGTCGGCGGCGCGATCGGCGAGGCGTTTGCGGCCAAGGTCAGGCGGCAGGGCGAGGGCGGCAGCGAGGGCGAGGGCGAGGTGGAGCTTCCTCCTGGCGGCGAGGCAGGGTGGGACGCGCTCGGCCTCATCTTCCGGTGCGCTCAGGCCCACTCTCTTTCCTTCTTCCCTCTTGCCCGAGCAGCTCGACTGACACGACGAGCGTCTCTCTCTGCAGCGTCGGCGGTGTCGCGGCGGCATGCTCGGCGTACATCTGCTTCAAAATGTGGAAGGAGAGCCTACAAAACGAGCGACGAGCGAGGTCGGCGCAGCGGGGCTACCGCCTGACCGGCTGAGGGCCCCTGCACCATCATTGTCGTCTCTCTGTGTCTCTCACGCGCGCCAAGAGAGAGAGAGAGAGAGAGAGCGAGTGGCAATACAACACCGAGAGGCCGCAAGAGGGGAAACAGGAGGGGAAGGACAGGGTCGACGACGGCGCGAACGAGGACGCAAATAGAGGGTAGCGAGAGAGAGAGTGCGAGGAAAGAGGGGAAGGGAGCGAGCGAGCACCTTCTACTTGTGCTCGCCGTTGCGCCTGCGGCCGCCCGCCTTCTGCGTCTTGACGTGGTTGCGCAGGCGCCGGCCCTTCTGGTGCAGCGACGCACGTGTCTTGCGCGTCACCTCGTGCGAGTGGGCCATCATGAGGAAGTTCTTGCCGCGCTTCTTCTCGGCGTTGGTCGTCGAGTGCGCCTTGGCGTCGAGCTTCTTGTGACGGTGCGAGCCGAACTTGTCGCGGTCGGCACGGCCCTCCTGGATCTGCGGCGGGGGCAAACCAGGGTCAGTTCACGTTCGGAGACGGCGTCCGGGCGTCGAAGCGGGCCGAAAAAGAGAGAGAGAGAGAGGAGGAGGAGGCGAGAGGGGGAGAGACGGACCTTGGCCATGCGCTCCTCGTACGAGTTCTTCTTCTTCTTCTGGAGGCCGAGGATGTCGTCCTCGGCGAGGAAGGCGTCGTCCGTGTCGCCGTGGTTGGCCTTGCGCGCAGCGGCGAGCGCGGCGAGCTTGCGACGAGCGGCCGAGCCGCCGCCGTTCTTGGCCTCGTCCTCGGCCGCCTGCACGCGCAGCTCGTTGATCTTGACAAAGTCGGCGGGCGTGAGGATCTGCGAGTCCATAGGAGGCGAGGGTCAGTCTGGGCGGGCAAGGGAAGAGGAAGTACGAGCGAGAGGCGGGCGCACCTTGGACATGGCGATCTCGGCGAACGTCGTGCCCTCGAGCACCTTGTTGGCGCGCGTGAGGCTCATCTCGTCCTGCTCCTCCTCGGTCCGGACCCTCGGCGCCTGCTCCTCCTCGGGCTCGCCCTCGTCCGAGCCCGACTCGTCGTCCGACTCCTGGTCCTCGTCGTCCGAGTCGCTGTCCTGGCCGAACACGATCTCGTCGTCGCCCTTGGTGCCGGCGACGTCGACGGCGCGCTTCTTGGGCGGCGACTGCTCGTCGTCCTCGTCCTCCTCGGCGACGGCGTCGAGGCCACGCTTCTTGGCCTCGCGCGCCTCGCGCGCCTCGACCTTGCGCCGCTTGCGCGCCTTGTCGTCGTCGTCGTCGTCCGAGTCGCTGATCTCGAGGTCCGACTCGCCCTCGGACTCGACGTTGACCCACCCGCCGGACGAGTCCGACTCGGAGCCCGACTCGGCCTCCCAGCCGTCCCACCCGGCCTCGTCGTCGTCGTCCGGGTTGGCGGCGCCGTCCTCGCCGTCGCCGTTCTGCGCCTGCTCGGCGAGGTGCTTGGCGAACAGGTCGAGGCCCTGGATGCCCTTGACCGTGTCGCGGTCCTCGCCAAACTTGAGCGACGTCTTGCGCTCCTCGGCGCCGGCGGCGACGGCGTCGGCCCCGCCGCGGCGCTCGTCCTGGAGCTGCATGCTGACCGACTTGCCGACGTCGCGACGCTTGAGCAGGGTCGGGTTGACCTCGCGGTACAGCTGGAGGAGGCCGCGCGCGGCGACCATGACGCCCTTGTCCTTGGACTTGCGGTACTCGACGAGGTCCTGGAGCAGGTCGGGGCTCATGGCGAGCGGCTGGCGGCGGCAGATCTCGGTGATGGCGTTGAGTCCGGCCGAGTTGACCTCGGCGGCGACGCCCGAGTGGACAAACTCGTTGGCGATCTTGCGCAGGACCGGGTACAGCGGGTCGTCCTGCTCTTGCTGAGCGACGTCGTCCGTCTCGTCGTGGCCGCCGGCCGGGATCTGGTCGTGGACCGACTGGGCGAGGGCGACGAGGATTTGGGTGATCTGGAGCTGGTGGTGCGTGAGGTACCGCAGGACGTAGGAGTAGAAGGCCGGGATCGTGAGCTTGAAGGCGCCGCAGACGCGGCCGAGGAGCTGCATCATGAGGACCTTGTGGTCGAGCGTGTAGGCCTTGTCGTACCGCACGAGCTGCTCGTACAGGCGCTCGCCGAACGAGTAGGCGTCGTCGAGCTGCTGGAGGGCCGAAAAGTTGCTCGCCGGCTCCTTCTTGTCCTGCTCCTTCTGGCGGCGCTTGACGTTGGCGGCGCGGATCTCGCGCTTGGCGCGGCGGTCGGTCGACTTGCGCTTCTTGTTGATCTCCTGCCGGTGCTTGACCGTCTGGATGTCGGGGCCCTCGTCCTCGTCGTCGTCCGAGTCGAGGTCGGCCGCCGTGTCGGGCGTGACGAGGAAGAAGTGCATGGCGGCGCTCTGCACCTTGGTGTCCGGGTGAAAGCACGCGCGTGCGACGACCTTGACCGTCATCTTGTCGCCGCGCCACACGTTCTTGCGCCACAGCTCGGCGGCGATCTTGACGGCCCACATGGCCTCGCGTGCGCCGACGACCTTGCCGTCCTTGCTCGTCGACGCGCCGCGGCGGGACGCCTTGACGCCGGTGCCGACGCGCTCCTGCTCGGCGGCGATGCCGCGCTCGATCATGGCCATGAGGAGGCCCTGCACCATCGAGTTGAGCTTGACGGCGCGCGTCTTCATGTTGGCGTTCTTGATGTCGCCGATGATGGTCTTGAGGATGAAGCTGCGCAGGTTGGGCGAGGTCGTGATCGACAGGAGCGGGAACAGCGTCTTGAGGAGCCTGCAGCGCGAGAGACAGTCAGGGCTCGGTTGTCGGGGTGTGCGCGAGAGCACACAAGAGGGAGAAGAAGAGGACGCACTCGACGCCCGAGATGACCTCGCGCCGGCGGAGGAGGACGAGGCCCTGCATCATGGTCTTCCTCGTCTCGGGGCTCAACTGGACGCCGCCGCCGCTGATGGCGCTGCCGACGCCGGTCGGGCCCGCCGCCGTACTCGCCGACGACGTCGAGGTGGCCGGGGCCGACGACAGGAGGAGGCCGGACAGGATGGACGGGAGCGAGGCGGTGAGGGTGGGGTACAGGTGGGCGACCTGTGGGAGAGTGGGGAGCGAGTCAGTCTCGCGCGCAAGGGACGCTCACCGCAGGGGGAGAGAGAGCAAGCCACGCACCTGGCAGACGAAACCGGTAACCTCCTTGAGCTGCTCCTCGTCGCCCTTGGCGCCGCCGAGCCCGAGCTGAACGATCTTGACGAGGCTGCCGAAGCGGGCCCACTGGACGGCAAACTCCTCGGCGTAGCTCTCGGGCGAGCGCTTGATGAGGTTCTGGAGGGCCGGGAGCGAGTTGGTGATGAGGGCGCCGCGCATCGTCTTGCGCAGGCCCTCGCCGGCGGGAGTCGAGGTGGCCGGGGCGCGCGAGCGCGACGACGAGGCGCGGCTGCCTGCGACCGACGCAGCGGGCCTGGCAGAGGTGGCGACGGAGGCGGGCATCCTGACAGGTGTCGAGGACGAGGTGGAGCGGAGACGTGGCGAGCGTCTCCTCCAAGCTCACAGCACCTCGCGTCGCGTGTCTCATCAGATTCCGCTCCTCGCACCGTGCGCTGCTCGAGAGCTTGTAGCATTGTCAGAGAGAAGCACTGCAAAGCTGTGTGCGCAAGGTCGAGGACTGGTGGCTGGCGCTTGCTCGGCCGGAACGTCGGGCGGGCGAGACGTTGCCGCCCAGCTCGTCGTCTCTCCGGCGACTCTGTGGGCCCCGAGGCGCGGAGAGAGTACAGGCTGAGCTCGCGGACCACTCGCGCGGCCCAGACTCGGTGAATCGAGAGCGGAACAGATTGTGGACGCGGGCGAGCGGGACACCCGCTTTCGCCTCTCTTTGCCTTGTCCCGCTCGCGATACACCTCTCCTGCGCTCTTTGACCGGCGCACCACCCTCGCAGGCCGACTCTCCATACCTGTGCGTCCCCTGCGCCTCCCTCCCCGCATCGTCGCTGACCCCTCGTCCTCCCGCAGCCTCACCTCCCCCACCTCACTTCAAGCGCCGCCTCAGCCACCATGGTCTCGTCTGGCATCGTTCCCGTCATCAACTTTGAGCCGTTCCTGTCCGGCACGCCCGAGGACAAGCTGGCGACGGCGCAAGAGCTCCTCAAGGCGGCCAAGGAGGTGCGCCCCCCTCCCGCTCTCGCGACTGGACCGAGCCGACACTGCGAGTGAGCCAAGCTGACCCTCGTACCTCACCCACAGGTCGGCTTCCTCATGCTGTGCAACGTCGACGCCGTCGTCGACAAGGCGACCGTCGCCGAGGCGTTCAAGAAGACGCAGCAGTTCTTCGACCTGCCGATGGAGGTCAAGGAGCGGCTCGAGTGGGAGTGCGCCGAGTCGAACCGCGGCTACGTCGCCGAGGGCCGCGAGCGCGTCACGCAGGAGACGGACCCCGAGGCGATCGCCAAGCTGCGGCAGCAGGCACCGGGTGCGTCCTCCTCTCGCTTTCCTCCTAAGGTGCGACGACAGCGTGTACAGTACGACGAGCTGACCATCGTGCGCGGAGTGCAGACTTCAAGGAGACGATGGAGATCGGCAAGGACTACCGCGAGGGCCCGGACGACTCGCCGTACGAGAACCGCTGGCCCGAGTCCGAGTTCCCCGAGTTCAAGACGTTCATGAACGCCTTTTTCGAGAAGAACCATCAGCTGCACCTCGAGATCATGCGCGCGCTCGCGCTCGCCATGGACATCGGCGAGACGTTCTTCGACGACAAGGTCGCGCAGCGGTCGCACAACCTGCGCCTGCTCAACTACCCGCCGATCGAGAAGGCCAAGATCCTCAACGGCGGCAACCGCGCCGGGTCGCACTCGGACTATGGCTCGGTGACGCTCCTGTGGCAGGACATGGTCGGCGGCCTCGAGGTGCAGGACAAGGACGGCGCGTTCGTGCCCGCGCGACCCGTCGCCGACACGGTCGTCGTCAACGTCGGCGACCTCCTCCAGCGGTGGTCCAACGACGTCCTCAAGAGCACGATCCACCGCGTCGTCCTCCCCGCCGACGGCGACCCGCTCGAGATGACGCCCCGCCGCAACTCGATCGCCTTCTTCTCGAACCCGTCGTTGCGCACCGTCATCTCGGCGCTCCCGGGCACGGGCGAGCCCAAGTACGAGCCCGTCGAGACCGAGGCGTACCTCGTCAAGCGCCTGAGCGAGACCTGTGCGTCCCCCTGCCACTTTCTCTTTCTTCCTGCCCCTCTCTCGGCCTGCTCCCTCCAGTCTCTCGCTCGCGCGCACGCACTGACCTCGTCGCTCGCCGTCCACAGACACCAAGAAGTGAGCGCATCGAGTCTATCTAGCCGTCGTCCGTAATGCAGCAGTGCCCCTTGCGTGCTGCCTCGAGAGAGGCCCGAGCGTCGTCTTCGTCCCGCTCTCTCTTTCTTGCTCGTTCAGCTCTGGCGCTCTCGAGACGACACTCTCGGTCTCGCGCACACACGACAAGAGAGAGTACGAGGCATAACACCTAAGCGCTCGTATTGACAGCATAAGGAAGAAGGTAAGAAAGCGGCGCCGACGAGGCTCGACGACGACAACGACGACGAGGTCCGACTGGATAAACGACAGAGGGGGGGACAGGCAGGGTGCGGGGCGTGATACTGTGGCAAACACGAGAGAGCCAGGGAAGGTGACGGTCTAATCGGACAGGAGGAGGGGAGGGCGAGGGGGAAAAGGGGTATCGAGAGGCCGACGACGACGACGACGCTCAGAAGTCCTCGTCGAGCGAGAAGAGCGAACCCTTGGCCGTGTCCGTGCCAGCCTCAGTCGCGTTCTGCTTGGACATCACACCGGCCTTGCTGTAGTCCGACACTCGCTGCGTCGACGAAATGTGAGGTCAGGAGGTGCTCTGACGAGTGCAGGACGAGTTTAGAGAGAGAGAGACGCACCTTCTCGAAGAAGTTGGTCTTGCCCTCCATCGAGATCATGTCCATAAAGTCGAACGGGTTCTCCTTGTTGTAGACCTTGGGGTTGCCGAGCGACACGAGGAGGCGGTCGGCGACAAACTCGATGTACTGGCACATGAGCTCGGCGTTCATGCCGATGAGGCGGACCGGGAGGGCGTCGGTGAGGAACTCCTGCTCGATCTCGACCGCCTCGCGGATGATGCGCTCAACCGTGTCCGGGTGCGGGCGGCGCTCGAGGTGCGAGAAGAGGAGGCACGCAAAGTCGGTGTGGAGGCCCTCGTCGCGCGAGATGAGCTCGTTCTGCAGGCGCGAGAGCGTCAGTGAGGGATCGAGAGAGAGAGGGGGCAGGTGGACGCACGGAGAAGGTGAGGCCGGGCATGAGGCCGCGCTTCTTGAGCCAGAAGATCGAGGCGAACGAGCCCGAGAAGAAGATGCCCTCGACGGCGGCAAACGCGACGAGGCGCTCGCCGAACACCGACTTGTCGTCCGAGATCCAGCGCAGGGCCCACTCGGCCTTCTTGGCGATGCAGGGGACTGTCGAGGGGGGACAGGTTGTCAGCTGCGCGCTCGCGAGCGAGAGGGGGAAATGTTGGACGCACTCGTCTCGATGGCCTTGAAGAGCTTGTTGCGCTCTTCCGGCTCGCGGACGTACGAGTCGATGAGGAGCGAGTAGACCTCGGAGTGGATGTTCTCCCTGCGGGTGACGGCGGCAACGAGGTCAGCGGGCCTGCTCCGAGCGAGAGAGGACGACGAGGGACGCACATCATGATCTGGAAGCCGTAGAAGCAGCGCGCCTCTGCGATCTGGACCTCGCCGGCAAACCTGCACAAGGGAGAGATGTCAATGACCGAAGTTGACATTTCGAGGGGGAGGAGGCAGGGGGACGCACCTCTCGAGGAGGTTCTCGTTGACGATGCCGTCGGACGCGGCAAAGAAGGCGAGGACGTGCGAGATGAAGAACTTCTCGTCGTCCTTGAGCTTGGTGTCCCAGTGGTTCAGGTCCTTGGACAGGTCCTGCACGACGAGGGAAACGCGTCGAGGCGCCAAGGGGAGGGGTCAGCACACGCCTCGCCTCGTCCTCCGAGATCGCGGGCAGAGAGAGTGGACGCACGACCTCCTCGGCAGTCCAGAACGAGGCCTCGGCGCGCTTGTACTGGCCCCAGATCTGCGATGCGCGGGCGCGAGGGAGGGAGGGGAGGGGGCGGAAGCGAGGGGTCAGCTCGGTCACACGAGGCGACACGGTCCGCCTCGCGCCACTCGAGAGAGGGCGTGAGCGAGAGAGAGAGTAAGGGCGCACCTCGTGGTACTGGATGGGGAACAGGACAAAGCGGCTGCCGGACTCCTTGAGGATGGGCTCGTCGGCGTCGCAGGTGATGGCGGGGTTGCCAACGAAGCGGTCGCGGCCGTCGGTCGCCTTGCGGTCGTCGACGAGCTTGGCCGACTTGCGCTCCTTGCGCAGGGCGGCGGGCGACTCGGACGCGGCCTGCTTGGCGGCGGCGAGCGTCGCCGAGAGGGACGAGGCCGGCTTGGTGAGGTCGAGCTGGTCGAGCTGGGCGGCGGCCACCTTGGACGGGGTCTCGAGGACGGCGGAAGACGGAGCGGCGACCATGGTGCTTCTGTGTGGCGGGAGAGAAGAGGGTGCGGCCGGAAGAAGAGGGAGGCGAGGCGAGAGTGAGGAGAGAGGGGGAGAGAGGGAGAGGCGAGGGCGACCCAAGGGGCGACGAGGCCGAGTGCCGCCGCGTCGAGGCGCGCTCCTCGGATGTTGTCTCGAGCACACAGGCGCCCGATTCCTGCGTGCATTCCACGTCGTTGCTCGACTCAGACGCGCTCCCCTCTTTCGCCGCCATCGTGACCCGCTCACGGAATTGACCGCACACGGTCGTGAAGCGCTCTCGTCGTAACACGCCGTTCGAGAAAGCCTTCCTCGCTCTCGGTTGCGGCACATTCCAGAGTGTTGCGCGCTCTCACGGGCTTCATTCGACGTGCACTCGACGGCCGACCGCGCGAGAACGTCGCCTGGCGTCGAGCGAGCGCGGCCGGACAGCTTTCCCGCGAGAGTCGGGTACCGTGCTCGCTTCGACCGCTCGCTGCTCGCCGTCGTCACCTCCGATCGTCGTTTGAGCGCGGCAGATCTGACGGCACGTGTTTCGGCAAGGTCGGCGAGCAGGCGCAGGCCGTTTGGCGAGCGGTTTCGCTGTCTGCTCCTCGATTCGCAGTGTGACGAAGCGAGCGCGAGGAAGTCGAGTGCACGCAGAGGTTGGGGCGTCCAGCAGCGTAACCGAGGCGGGTCGACGCAGCACACACATTGCAATGCAGGCCGCAGCTGGCGCACACTGCGGTGAGCGAGGGACTGGTGCGAAGGAGAGCCTCCGTCTGCTCCGTCGGCGATCTACATCGTCCGCCTCCTCCCCTCGACCAGCACCAACCACGAGCGTGCGCCTAGCTGTGCCTCGCTCACTGCACCGTACTGCAGCACTTCGACGCTGTGCAGCCGGCGCCAACTGCGCTCGACGCTCCTCTCCTCATTCAACTCGAACCACCCCACCTCGACAGCCTCCGCCCTCGTCTCCGCGCGCGATGGACGGCCCACCTGCGTCCAGCGCCTCGACCTCGTTCGCCAGGGCAACTGGGCCGACCCTCGAGCAGCGCACCGGGTCCGCACCGCCCTCGCCCGTTCCCCTCGTCGATCACGAGCAGGGCCAGCATCGGCACCTGTACACCCAGCCCGACTACGCCGTCAAGACCAAGGACGAGCGCCTCCCCGAGCTCGAGACCAAGCACGCCGGCTTGACGGCCCTGCGCCGCGTCTTCATCGGGCCCAGCTTCCACCGGGCTCAGGGCGGCGGCGGCGGGCCCTTTGCGTCGGCGCACGGCGGCGGCGGCAGCGGTGGAGGCAAGGGCAAGGCGAGGGCGGCCGAGGGCAGCGACGGCGAGCAGGCGCACGCGGGCATGTCGTTCCCGCTGCGGCGCCGTCGGCGGGCGAGCACGAGCGCGACCAACCGCACGGGCATCTCGGTCGGCTCGTCGACGCACGGCGACAGCTCTCGCGGCGGCTGGCACGGCGCGAGCTTTGAGATCGGCGGCGACGTGCGCGACGCCGCACGCAGGCGGGACGCGCGCCTTGCTCGGCAGCGCGACGAGGACGAGGGTCGGCCGGCGGCCGACCGCGAGCGGGACGAGGCCGGCCACGCGCACGAGCACGAGGGAGCGCCCGACGTCGCGCGCTCGCTCCCGCGCAGCCCGGCACTCACGACGCGAGCGTCGTTCGTGACGGCCCGCACGCACCTGCCGCCGTCCACGGCGCCCGACCGCGCCTCGACCGCCGCACCGACGCCCCAGCGCACCTCGAGCCTCGCCCACGCCTTCCACCACCGCCCCGTCGACCTGCCCGACATCCTCGTCACGGGTGACGCAGCCTCTGACGGCGCCCTCGAGGCGCCAAAGCGCCGCCCCGACCTCCCGCACCTCCAGTCGATCCTCCGCACCCGCGATGCTCTTCCTTCCCCGAGCTCGCGCCTCGCCACCAGCGCACCCGTCACGGTCTACGGCGACGCCGTCTCGCACCAGGAGGCGGCGCTCGGCGTCCGCTTCCCGGACGAGCCGGCCACGGTCCAACCGCTCGGCGCCGGCTCGGGCGCCGCACCGCCTGCGCCGCCGCTCGAGGTCCTCGCCCGTCCCGAACCAGACGCCGAGCCCGACGCTCCACCATCGTCGACGGCGCGGCTCGTCGACGGGCTGCGACACCCGCTGCGTCACGAGGCCGCGCCCGCTCGGCGCAAGACCCGGCCGGGCGACGCCGTCCTGCGCCAGGAGCGCATGCTCGTCCGCGTCGACTGGACGCAGCGCGAGGACCTGCCCGACGACTTCGACGAGCACGTCGCGCGCAAGTACCCGACGTCCAAGGAGGCGTGGGAGGAGGTCGCCGTCGTGTGGAGGGCGAGCGGGCAGATCGAGCTGTGGGGCGAGTACGTGCGTCGCGCCGGTTCCACCCTCTCGACGTACCCCTCATGATCGAGTACTGACTCCTTGCCTCGCGCAGTCCCTCAACATCCCGGCGACCGTCCTGCACCGCAAGAAGCTCAAGACGGTCATCCCGCTCACGGCGAGAAAGACGCACCTCTCGGTCTACTCGTCGACCGACCTCATCTTCTGCCTCACGCACCGCCCTCACTCGCACTCGCGCTCGTCGGCCAAGACGGCGGTACGCGCCGGCAAGCCCGACGAGCGCACGGTCGACAAGGGCGACGACGGCAAGGACGAGCCGCGCTCGCGCAAGGCGTCCAAGCGCGGTCGGCTGCACTTCCGCACCGAGGGCACCAACATCTTCCTGTTCCGCACCCGGACCCACGCCATCGCCAAGGAGTGGGTCTGGCGCCTGTACCGCGCGCTCGGCGGGCAGCTCCCGCGCACGCTCGACGTGAGCGTTCCCGGGCTCGGCGCCGTCGTCCGCCTCCCTGTACCGACGGGCCCCGGCGACGACGGCGATGACGAGGACGAGGTCATGACGGGCGACGAGGACGAGCGCGCGTACCGGCACCTCCAGCCGCAGGTCGTCGTCGACGCGTGCGTCGCCCAGCTCGCGAGCGTCCCCGAGTGGCGCGAGGTCGTCGAGACGGCCAAGCGCGACGGTGCGCAGCTGCGGCTCGCGTGGCGGCGCGAGAGCACGCTCGACTGGGTCGGCAAGGGCCACCGCGGCGAGAAGAAGCGCGACTGGGCCGTCATCGGCGGCTTTGCCTTTCGTCAGGTGCGCCCCCTGTCTTGTCCCCTCTCCTCTCGTCGCACTCTGGCGGGCGTAGGGACTGACCCTTGTGCTTCCGCAGGCCCACCTTGCCCCTGTTCTCGAGCTTCGACCCGCCATGCACTACCCGACGACCTGCCGCATCCCGGCCGAGCCGGGTGCGCCCAACGCGCTCCACTCGACGACGACCCGCATCTCGGAACCGCCCGGCATCGAGGGCTTCCTCATCCGCCACCGCCCGAACGGCACGGCCGAGCGCATCTACCTCTCGAGCCGCATGGGCATGCTCTTCCTGTGCCGCTCGTCGACCGCACACCCGCCCGACCCGCCGATGAACGTGTACGACGCGCTCAACAACCCGGCCGCCGTCGTCCTCGCGCCGTTCGTGTTCGCCATGGCGACGCTCGCCGCGCCCAGCAAGAAGAAGCGCGACCGCCTTTGGGGCCGCATCTCTCGCGGCGCCGTCGTCCAGGGCAAGGCGCACAAGCACGCACGTCGCCGAGACTGGACGCTCAAGAGCATGACGGCCGCCGACGCCGCCGACGAGGTGTTCCACAACGGCGGCGACCTCGACATCGACGGCGGCACGACCGACGCCGGCCAGTGCGACGGCAACGACATGCTCGAGTGGCTCGACCGGCACGAGCGCGAGCGAGGGTTCCTCCAGGTCACCGACGCGCACGGTTTCGTCGACTTGAGCGAGCTCGAGACGATCGACCCGGAGCTCGAGGACCAGCCGCGCGACCAGTTCGTCCAGGTGCACGACGTCGGCGGGCAGGGGGGCCTCAACGTTGCCGACGACAAGGCCAAGCTGCGACGGTTGCGCTCGTTCGTCGTCAAGACTCGGTCGGGCATGGCGATGCGGTTTGAGGTCCGTCGCCCATCTCGCTTCCCTCGCGTCAGCTGCAGCTCCGGTCCTGACGCTCTCTCTCCCACAGTGTCACTCGATCGACGTCCGCGACGAGTGGGTCGGCCGCCTGCGCGCTCTCGTCACGTACTGGCGCCGCCGCGAGCGAGTCGACGCCATCCAGCTCATGAGCCTCTCGCCTGGCGACGGCCTCGTCAACAAGCTCCCGCCTCGCTCGGCGACGCAGAAGTTTGCCTGGAACGACGACTTTGACGACGGCGGCGCGCCGCCACCGACCCGCAACGAGATCCTCGCGAGCCCTCAGCTCGGGCACGTCTACAACTGGTGCCTGCTCGACGGCTGCCGCGCCGTCATGCACAAGGGCGCCATGCACGTCAAGAAGGGTCTGCGCGGCACGTTCCACCCTCGTCACGTCGTGCTCCTGCCCGGCGTGCTCGTCGAGTGCGTCGACCTCGCTCTGCCTCTCTCATCGTCGCTTCTCTCAACCGGCGTCGCCCTGACTCACAACCTCCTCCTTCCCTTGCGCACAGGTTCCAGTCCGTCACACGCGACCTGCAAGGGAGGCCAAAGGCGACGCCGTACCACCGCCGCCGCCACGTCCTCACCCTGCGCGACTGCTACATCTACAGTGGCTCGCTCGCGTCGCACCTCCTCGCGCCGAGCAAAGGCGCCTCGACCTGGGACCCGGCCGACGAGTCGGCTCATCAGCTGCCGCGCTACTACTCGTCGAGCGACGGCCTGCGCACAGCCGACGACGTCGAGGACTGCACGTTTGCCATCGTCCGCGTCAAGCACTCGCGCTCCGGCAAGCTCGACAAGCTCGACAAGAAGGTCGACGAGGCTCGAGTCTATCGTGCTCGGTCAAAGGTGCGTCTCTCGCTTCCTCTCTCGGTCTCTCTGTCCATCCTTCTCTTGCGAGACGAGGACTAACTCGACTTGCCTGCCCCCTCCCCTCGCCTGCAGCTCGAGCGCGACCAGTTCGTCTATGCCCTCAACGCGTCGATTGAGCGCATCATGCGCGGCGAGCGAGAGCGCGAGGACCGCCTGCGCGACTTTCCATGGGCCGAGCGCACCTGAGCGTGCGTCGGCGCGCGGCACGGTCGAGCCCACGGCCGTACTTCTCGAGCGTGCAACGTCGACGCCGTCGTGTCCCCGCACCCTGTCTCCTGCTCGACGAGAGCGAAACTGAGCGATCGAGAGAGAAAGCCAGAGGCGCGAGCGCGAGCTCGAGGAGAGCCAGGAGAGCCAACTCGAGAAGGCGAACTCGAAGCGAGAGCTTTCTCTCTCGCTACAAGCCGCTCGCGCACCTCTCGCTCGTTGCGAATCGTCTACTCGTGTTCCTTTGCACAGGGTCTACAAGCACAGCCTCGGCTCCACCTTACTGACTCACAGCTTGCTCTTGGGCTTCGAGTCGGCCGCCGGGGCCGCCGCGACGACGCCGCCGCCCTTCTCCATCATCTCGCGCACGTGGTTGCACGACTCCTCGAGGAAGGTGCGGAACGCATGCACGTTGTTGTGCGGCGCGCGGTTCATCGACGTGATGTTGAACCGGATGTTGCGGTCGTTGACCGAGTAGGCGAGGCCATAGCCCTCGTCGACGACTGCGCGAGGGAAAGAGACACGACGTCAGTTCACGGCATCGAGAGACGCCGACAGAGAAAGAGAGAGGGGGCGCACCTTCGCCATAGCCCCACCCGTCAAAGTACGCCGACGAGAGCTGCGAGGTCGACAGGACCCAGTTGCTCGACAGGCCGAACGTCGGGTCCTGGTACAGCGCCGGGAGCTCCTCGCCTTCCTTGAGCACCTTCTTGAGGCCGAACAGGTGGCGGTCGACGCCGCGACCGTCGGCGGCTTCGCCAGCGAGCTTGATGTGCTTGGCGGCCGCCTTGCGGAAGAGCTCGACGCACTCGGTGTACTGCGCACGCAGGGGGAGGTCAGTCGGACGGCTCAAAGAGAGAGAAAACGAGAGCGAGGGAGAGAGAGGGGGACGCACGCTGCGCTTGGGGTCCTCCATGGCCTTGTACCACTCGAGTGCCTCGTTCGTGGTCGAGCGGATGACCTCAGTGCGGCCGAGGCGGTACTTGCGCGTCTGTGCGCTCTCGTACGTCGGTGCCGCCTTGCCCTCCATCTTGTAGTACGCGAGGCCCATGACGAGCTGCGCGTACGAGTCCGGCGACGTCTTGTACTGCTTGATCTGGTCCTTGCCGTACCCGGCGTACTCGAGGACGGCGAGGTCGTGCTTGGCCATGACGTCCTGGTGGGCCTTGATCGACGTGTCGATGGCCGACTTGACCGAGGCGGTGAGGTTGAACGTGAGGGGCGTCACCTTGGGGAGCGCCGACGCCGACCGGGACGACGAGCCGAGGTCGATCTTGCCCATGTCGAGCGACCGCAACAGCCAGTCGTTGAGGCGCGACGTGGGCGTGCCGTCCATGCACGAGTGCTCGCCGTTGAAGCCCGACTTGCCGTTCTCGAACACGACCACTGCGAGGCGCCGAGCCGGTCAGGGTCGTCCCGGGCCAGGCTCGAGCGCAAGAGGGAGAAACGTGTCGACGCACGCTGATGCTTGTCGAACCACCGGTCCTTGCCGTCGCCGACCCACAGGCCCCAGCTCTTCTCCTCGCGCGTGTACGGCTTGTTCGAGTCGAGCGAGACGATGATGATGGCCGACTCGATGCGCTCAAGCGCCTTGAGGTTGGACGGGTCCTGGACGAGCTCGCCTCGGGCCTGTAGTCGGAAGAAGGTCAGGTTTGTCGATACCCCGGGACCGGAGGACGAGGAGAGACGCACCTTGGTCCATAGGTCGCGGTCGGCCGCCGTGAGCGCACCGAGAGGGTGAGCGTCGGCCTCGGAACCCGCCGTATCAACGACCTTCTGGAAGAGCCTGCATGTCGCTCGAGGCTGTCAGTGACGCGGCCCTTCCTGAACAAGGTGCGAGGTGGACGCACGCCTCGAGCTCCTTCTCGCTGAGCCACTCGCCCTTGTCGTCGACGACGGGCACCTCGTAGAGCTTGCCCTTGCGGACGACGACGACGTGGTTGTGGGTTTCAGGGTCGTAGACCTTGGCCGTGTCGGACGGGGCAGTCGGGAGGCGCGTCGCGTTGAACAGGTACTTGTACGACGACATGCAGAGCGGCGTCTTGCGCGCCATCTCGGGCTCGAGCTGCTGCCTGTCAGCGTGGAAGGGAGACAGAGAGTCAGTCCTTGCGCCTCATGACCCTTGAGAGGCGGCAGGAACGCACGTTACCGCGAGGCGGCGGAAGTAGAGGAGGGCGCGGAGGAGGCCGGCAGCGCGAGAAGGGCCCGTTCGCCGCGAGCGGTCGTCCTTGTGGCTGTAGAAGTAGTTGACGCCTGCACGTGTGCGGCCGAGTCAGCGCCCGAACGCGAGAGGGAGCGAGAGTGGGGGTGAAAGGGAGAACGCACCGGGCACGACCGGACCCCTCCAGCCAAAGTACGCCGTCTCGTTCCACCACTCGGACAGCCAGCTCTCCTTGCCCTCGGCGCGCTTGACGAGGCGCTGCTGGAGCTCCTTGACGAGGGGCGACGAGACAAAGTCCTTGACGGCCTGCTCCGACTTGTTCCATGACGGGAGCGGGGACGACGACGCGCCGGCCTCTTGCGACGTGTGGTAGGGACGGATCGAGGTGAGGTACCGCTCGGCCGTCTCCTCGAGGGTCGGCACAGGCAAGTGAGGGAGGGAGCGCTCGAAGCGGTCTGCAATGGCCGCGGGGGGAGCCGTCAGTGGGGGGCCTCGTCGTCGTCGCGCCGTTCCGACGCAAGGAGGACGAGCTCCGGTACAGTAGAGAGCGTGGACGCACACATGGGGCCGACCGACGGGTCCGCCTTGGGCTCTGCGGCGGCGCCTGACGAGGCCGAGGAGCGAGACGACGACGACATGGTGCGGTGCGGCGAGGTCGAGAGAGCGGCGAGGGCGGCGGCGGTGGTGTGTTTCGACTGGTAAGCGACGCGAGGGACGGCCAGGCGAGTACGAGCTGCGAGCATTCCCCTTGGAGAGTTTTCCGGGAGCGAGAGCGACGGCGCAAGAGAGAGGCGAGCGCTCCGGCTTCCACGCGCCGCAAAGGCCGGACCACCGGCGTACGCGCCCACTCGTCCCGCGCCGCGTGCGCAGCCGAGGCTCAGTCCCTGGTGCTCCCTGCAACCGCCGTGCCGGGCGATCACAGCAACGCCGACCGACGAGCGACGGCCCGTCTTTCTCCGCGCGTGGGCGAGCTGGCCGCTCGTTCCTCGCACCTTCTCTCTCTCTCGCTCTCGGTTTGAGTTGTTAGACTGGGAGAAGGACACATCGCAATACAAGGACAACAGGGGAAGACGCCGGTGAGACCTCGAAGAAGGGGAACAGAAGAGAGAGTACGGCCGACTCTGCGCGCGCGCGCATCTACCGCTTGCCGGCGCCGCCCTTGCTCGTGCGCTTCTTGCTCGTGCCGGCGTGGCCCTTGGGTGCGGGCACACCTGCGACGGCAGCCTTGCGCGCGGCCTGGTCCTTGACGGGTCCGCCACGGCGCGATTTGCTGCGCGAGGAGGACGAGAGAGAGGGTCAGTCGAGGGCGTCGGCGGCCGATGAACGCGAGGGCGAGAGAGTGGGACGCACTTCTTGACGTTGGCGTGAGTGAAGAAGTTGGTGGCCTTCTTCTTGTTGGTCGTCATGCGCTTCTCCTTGCCCGATCGGCCGGCGTCCTCCGCGTCGGAAGACACGTTGTCGATGGCGCGAGCTGCGAGGTGCGGAGCAAGGGCGCAAAAAGTCAGTCCTCGTGCGTCGAGAGAGGTGGGCGAGGCAAGGAGAGAGGAGACGCACTGCGCTTGGCAGCCGCTGGAGGCTTGCCGCTCGCCGCCGAACGCGCCGGCGACGCCGTCTCGCCCTCGACGAGAATCTCGACGTCCTCGTCGTCCTCCTCGTCGAACGAGACCTCGTCCTCGTCCTCCTCGTCGAGCGCCGCAGCCTTGCGCTTGGCCGCCGGCGACGACTTGACCGCGCCGTCCTCCTCGCCGACGACCTGCGCGAACAGCTCGTCCCACGCGAGCGGGATCTCGCCCGCGCCGGCCTCGCCCTCGAACTCGTCGTCGTCGAGGTCGTCCTCGTCGTCGCCCGACTCGATGCCGCCCCACTCCTCGCCGTCATCGTCAAAGTCGGCCTCGTCCTCGTCGACCTCGTCCTCGCCCTCGGTCGACGCCTCGACCGCCTCGTCCATCTCGACGCGCTTGACGTCGTCCGGCAGGAACTTGGTCGAGTGCACGATCTGGTGGAGCGGCTGCGTAACGCCGGGCACGCGGCGCACCGTGTTGCCCTCCGAGTCGAACGACTTGGTCGCGCCGACCTTGGCGGGCGCCGACTCGCTCTTGTCGTCGGCGGCGGTCGAGGTCGAGGCGGACGCGCCTGCGAGCTTGAGCGGGCGAGGGATGGGCTTGCCGGCCGCGTCGGTCGGCTCGGGCGGCGCGACGAAGAAGGGGATCTTGCCGCGGATCCAGTCCTGTGAGAGGAAAGCGGTCAGTCTCGATCTGGGGCAGGAGCGCAGGGAGGGAGACGAGGGACGCACGTTGATGACCATGGTGGCGACCGTGCGGTAGTCGGCCTCGCCGCCGCGGTGGAGCTTGCCGGCCTTGCGCGCGAGCTTGGTGAGGAAGTCCTCGGCGCTCGTCCAGTCCTGGACGCCGTACGTGCGCACGAGGTACTCTTTGCGGACGCGCTGGAGGAGGAAGTCGATGTGCGACGCCGGGTCCGACAGGTGCTCGACGCGGACGATGCCCTTGAGGACCTTTTGCGAGTCGGTGTCGCGAGCCGACGGCGGGACGATACCGGGGCAGTCGATGAGGTAGATGCGGCGCATGAGCGTGATGTACTGCCAGACCTTGGTCTCGCCCGGGATGGGCGCCGTCGTGCAGACCTGCTTCTTCTTGAGCGTGTTGATGATGGACGACTTGCCGACGTTGGGGTACCCGATGAAGCCGACCGAGATCTGCTTCTTGTCCGAGTACAGGGTCGAGAACTGGCGCAGGAGCTGGATGAGCGAGCCCTTGCCGAACGAGTTGTTGATCGACGCGTGGAACGCGATGGTCGGGTGCGTCTTGCCGAGCACCTTGACCCAGCGGGCGGCGACCCAGCCGGGCACGAGGTCGACCTTGTTGAGGACGTAGACGACCTTCTTGCCCTTCTTCTCCTTGGCGAGGTAGGCCTCGACCGAGTCGCAGCGAGTGCCGATCGGGTCGCGCGCGTCGAGAACGTGCAGGATCACGTCCGACGAGTCGATGACCTGCAGGCGACGAGCGCGGGTGAGCTCCTGCGCTCGGGCGAGCGAGGTGGACAAGGGAGATGGAGCGACACACCTTGTACAGCTCGCCCCAGATACGCTTGGACGTGCCGGCGGCGAGGATCCAGTCCTGCGGGACCCGGCCGAGCTTGGCGTCCTCCTCCTGCGCGGCGAGCACCTCGGGCGCGAGCGTGCCCTCGACGTCGCGGATGTCGGACAGGCGCTGGTCCTTCTCGGCCTGGACGGCCGCGGCCGCGACCTTGGCCGCGTGCGCCGACACGTTGCCGGCGAGCTCCTCGACCGAGCCGACCTCGAGGCGGGGCCGCTTGCGCTGCGCCTTGGGGCCGAACGTGTCGTGGAAGGGCTCGGTCGTCGTGAGCTCCTGCTTGTTGCCCTGCGAGCGTGAGGAGAACGAGGGAGTGTGTCAGCGCCGGGGCGTCCGAGAGAGAGGGACAGAGATGGGGGACGCACGCCGCGGACCGTGTCGGTGAGGAGGCTCATCGGCAGCTTGTTTTGCTTGAGGACGACGGCATACGGGTCGTTGATCTTGTCCTTGAGGTTCTCGCGGAAGTGGTCGAGCGCGGTCTGCGAGATGGTGCGCGTGTTGCCGAACCAGCGGCGGTCGGGCTGGACGCGGCCGGGCGTGACATCGGTCGACTGGTACTCGGCTGCGACGAGGATCTTGCCGTCGGCGTCGCGCACCGCCTTGCTCGACTTGCCGGAGAGGAGGTTGACCCGACGAGCCGACTTGGCGTCGCGGTAGAAGTTCTCGCCTGCGCGGGAACGGGCGGAGCGGTCAGCTGATCGTCCCGTGGACACGGCGGCGCGGCTGTAGGCCCTCTGGCGGCTGCCGCAAGGCGCGAGCGTCGAGAGAAGGGAGGCTCACCCTTGGTGCGGAGGTTGCCCGTCTTGACGCCGGTCGCCTGCGCCTTTGCCGACTTGGCCAGCGTCTTGGGGTTGCTGTGATCGCGGACCATGGTTCTGACAGACTCGCGAGCTGCACAGAGCCGAGGCGAGGTGCGGTGGAGGGGCGAGTGTGGCTGTGTGGTGGTGCCGAGCTCGAGCTTGCGGTCGAACCCGACTCGCCTTTTCGGCCCAGCTCTCGCCGTCTCTCTGGTGCACGGGATCTCTACATTCTCGTTCGCAATGCTTTTCAACGCTACGGAACAACGCTCCTCGCGCACACGCGGGCGGAAGAGGCCCGACCGCAGAACGCGCCCGGCGCCGGCGTCTCCTCCAGCTACCGCCTCGGCATGAGTGCGCACCCGTGGGCCGCGCTTTGCTCTTGTCACCGTCGAGAGTCGGTCCTCGTGGTCGGCGGGACATCCTGCGTCGCGCGGCGCGAAGAGACGGGACTCGAGCTGACAGGGTCGAGGAGGCGACCTGCTGGCGGCCGTGCGCCGACGAGATGCGCAGATGCCTCGTCTCAGCGAGCCCGAGTGGAACGCAGCCAAGGGCAAGGAGCATGTTGTGGCGCGGTGCGAGGGAGCTCGAGGACGGACCGGGCCGTCTGTCCCTGAGCGAGCAGTGACAGCGTGCGCGGGACAGCGGCGATCCAGGGCTGCGCCGCTCTGCGCCGTCGCAGGAGGTGAGCGCGTTGCGTGCCATAGAGCGCGTGCGCGTCCTCGTAGCGGCCGCTGCAGGCCTGGCGCAAGGTCGAGCGAGGAGGAGCGTGAGTTGGTGGAGACGCGGAGCGGGGGAGAGAAGAGCAGCACTCGGCGAGCTCGACTAGCCGGTGACGTCGCCCTGCGCGGTAGAGCAAGTGGGCGAGAGCGAGGCGACGAGCGAGTGAGCGGAAGGAGGAAGAGAGGCGACCGCGCGGGAGACGGGAGGCGCAGGCGAGGCGAGCCAGCTCCGCTCCCCCGCCAACTTCACCTCACCGACCACTGCCAGCACTCTCGGGCCACTCGGCAGTACCGTCCACACGCCCCTACCAGCCGTGCCCTCGTCGACACCGGCCCGCCCCTCGCGTCGACTCTCTCGCACCAACCGAGCCGCGAGCCTCCTCTCCCCATTGTGCAGCACCCCCGGTCGACCCCACCAGCCCTCGCCGCCTCGCACCCGCACAGCAGGCGACTGTCACCGCGCCAGGCCACGCCTACGAGCTCGACACCTCCCGCACCGGCACCACTCTCGACTCGCCGCGCCCTCGACGACCGCCGTCGGCTCCGCCCTCCCTCCCCCTCCTTCCCTCCTTCCCCGCTCGACCCGCTGCGCCGAGTGCTCGAGCCCGCGATCCCCTTGGACGAGCCACTCGCTGCGCACGCTCCTTGCCCACCCCCGTGCCCCTCCCAGCCTTCGCCACCTCGTCCTAGCCCGCTCGTCCTCCGCCTCTCGTCGGCACCACCTCATCGTCTCGTTTGGGACCCGCACCTCGTCCGCCCCGCATTCGCACTCCGTTCGCCCGGCCTCCACCGGTGAGCTCAATCTCGTCCGTCACCCTAGCCACCGGCAAGGCCACGGCGCTGACCCCGTCCCTCTCCCTCCCTTTCCTCTTCGCACTCTCGTTCTGGACGTCCTCCCCGTCTCGACTGTCGCCCACCACATCGGTCGCCTCTCCCTCGTCGTCTCCCGCACGCACGCACGCGACCCGCCTCGCCGCCTCGACTGATCGCCTCTAGCCTCTCGATCCACCTTCGACCGCCTCTCGCGACCCCGACCCAGCAGCAGCCATGTCGACGGCCGCCGACATCCAGGAGAAGATTGCCGCGGCACGAAGGGAGGCCGAGACCCTCAAGGAGAAGATCCGCGCCAAGCGGGAACAGCTCGCCGACACTAGCCGTGCGTCCTCGCCCTTCCTCTCTTCTCGCCTCGACTCGTGCGGACGGCGGGACTGACCCATGCCCTCTCGCGCCACACAGTGCGCGCCATGGCGGCCGAGATCGACCCGTTGCCGCGGATAGCGATGCGCCCGCGGCGAACGCTCAAGGGCCACCTCGCCAAGATCTACGCCATGCACTGGGCCCAGGACAAGCGGCACCTCGTCAGCGCGTCGCAGGACGGCAAGCTCATCGTGTGGGACGCCTACACGACCAACAAGGTGCACGCCATCCCGCTGCGCTCGTCGTGGGTCATGACGTGCGCCTACGCGCCCTCGGGCAACTTTGTCGCGTGCGGCGGGCTCGACAACATCTGCTCGATCTACAACCTGCGCGCCAAGGAGGGCTCGGGCGTCAAGGTCGCGCGCGAGCTCAGCGCCCACACGGGCTACCTCTCGTGCTGCCGCTTCCTCAACGACCGCCAGATCCTCACCTCGTCCGGCGACATGAGCTGCATGCTGTGGGACGTCGACGCCGGCGTGCGCGTCATCGAGTTCAACGACCACACTGGCGACGTCATGAGGTGCGTCCCTGCTCTCTCTCTTTCTCGTGGCGGCATCGGCGGTGCGCCTCGAGCTGACTCTCCTTCGCGCCCGCCAGCCTGTCGTTGGGCCCGAACCAGAACGTGTTTGTCTCGGGCGCGTGCGACACGACGGCCAAGGTGTGGGACATCCGCACGGGCAAGGCGGTCCAGACGTTCACCGGCCACGAGTCCGATATCAACGCCGTCTCGTGCGTCCCCGTCTCTCTCTCTCTCTCTGTCCTCTCTCATCTCGTCCTGACCCTGTTCTTGCGTCCACAGCTTCTTCCCGAACGGCGACGCGTTCGCGACGGGCTCGGACGACGCCTCGTGCCGCCTGTTCGACCTGCGCGCCGACCGCGAGCTCAACCAGTACACGCACGACAACGTCCTGTGCGGCATCACGTCGGTCGGCTTCTCGGCCTCGGGCCGGCTCCTCTTTGCCGGATACGACGACTTTAACTGCAACGTGTGGGACACGCTCAAGGGCGAGCGCGTCGGCGTCCTCGCCGGGCACGAGAACCGCGTCAGCTGCCTCGGCGTGTCGGCCGACGGCATGGCGCTGTGCACGGGCTCGTGGGACAGCATGCTCAAGGTCCGTCTCTCTCTCAATCTCTTGGCCGTCCTTGGCGTCGACGAGTGCACCGCACTGACCGCCCGTTGCCTCGCGCTCGCAGATCTGGTCCTAGAAGCTGCCGTCCTCGGCCGCCGTCGTCTCGTTTTCCCCGCGCCTATACCCTCGAGCCGTGCCTCGTCCGGAACCTCGCAGTGCCGTCCCTCTGCACTTGTCCTCGTGCCTCCTATGGCCGTCGTTGCCATCGCCTCCCTACCCCTCCTTCGTCGTCTCCAGTCTGTCCTCGAGTAGTTCCCTCCTCTTCCCTTTCATCCTCTCTCTCCCTCTACTCCTTGCGTCCTCATCTCTCGCTCTCTCTTGGCCTCAGCCGCTTGCGATACCCCCCACTCCCTCGCTCTTCACCTCTGCGACGAGCCGTCCGGGCGTCGTCTCTCGTCCTCGTAATCCATTTTCGCCTCTGCCTCGCGCTCGAGAGTTTTCGGTGTCGTTGCAGCAGAGGTCGGCGCATGGCGAGCTCGTAAAGCCGAGAGGTCCCGAAGATGAGGCCCTCGTCGACGAGAGAGCGCAGCGCGACCTAACTGCGACCTCGAGAGGTCCGAGAGCCGCAGGTGGACCGGCACTGCGGCCCTCGTCGAGTGGGCCAGCGTCGATGCAGAGCGTCGAGAGCGACCTCCTGCGCGACCACGAGCCGGGACAAAGAGGTCTGAGCGCGCGCGAGTCGACGACAGCTGAACCGGGAGCGCGACTCGAGCGTGCGCTGTCACCTCAACAGCGTCTTGGAACAGCTTGGCAGCGTCGGGCTCTGCCCTGTGGACTCTGTGAGAGATTCGAGATGACGCGAGAGCTTGAAAGCGACGCCCTCGTCGACGATAAAGCGCAGCGCGAACTGGCGACCTCGAGAAAGTCCAAGAGCCGCAGGTGGACCGGCACTGCGGCCCTCGTCGAGTGGGCCAGCGTCGATGCAGAGACGTCGAGAGCGACCTCCTGCGCGACCTCGAGCCGGGACAAAGAGGTCTGAGCGCGCGCGAGTCGACGACAGCTGAACCGGGAGCGCAACTCGAGCGTGCGCTGTCACCTCAACAGCGTCTTGGAACAGCTTGGCAGTTCGTCGGGCTCATATTCCAATGATGGAACGCGACCCGAAAGTCCCTGGATCGAGACCAGGAGACGCTAGTACACTTTTGCCGCCCTCAAAAAGGAGAGGGAACACAAAGGGGGAGGGGCTGCGCCCTCGCGGACCCTCCCCAGCGTGCTGCTGCTGGCGCACCGTGGACTGTGTCAGCGGTCCTTGGCCGCCCGCCAGGCCTCAAGCATTGCAGCACTGCGCAAGAGACTCAGAATGAGGA